TTGATATCATTATTTTTCTTGGAAATTAAAACAACTACTTTGTATAACAGTTTTTTTAGTTAAAATGTTTTTATTTAAATAATAATAAAAGAAATAAATTTTATAGCATACATTTTTATTTATTTGGCGCAATTTTTTGATATCATTATTTTTGTAAGAAATTTAAACAATTATTTTGTACAACAGTATTTTTAATTAAAATGTTTTTATTTAAATAATCATAAAAGAAATTAATTTTATGATATAACTTTTATTATCAGTTGGCAGAATTTCTTGATATCTATTTTTTTTGGAAATTAAAATATTTATTTTGTACGTTAAAATAACACTGTTTTGTATAAAGTTAAAATTACATTATTTCATAGAGCAGTTTTTTTAATGTAAAAAAAAACTTTTTTGTGTAACACTTTTTTACATGGCGCGTGTACTTGGCGCTTTTTTTTACCTTTTTTTAAAAAGGTAAGTTTTTAGGGATTATATCATTTTTTTTGTAGTATATGTTAAACATATTAAAATAAATAAGCAAAGAACCCGCCACCACTCCCGTTATATTTTAATCAAAATACAACGGTCCTCTTTGCTTACTATAGATATCCAGATCCTTCAAACTTCTTAGCTCTTATTGTAAAAATAACGGATAATTACAAATCATATGTAATACATTAATATATATTTTTTGTTTTATTACAATTATATATACTATATATAATTAAGGTTAAGATGCGAAAAGCAATACTTTGCATTATACATATATAAGACTGTATAACTTTTATATAACTTCGAATTAATATATATATAATTCAATAAAATATTTGATATTTATATAGTTCTTTCAATTTTATTTACCTATTTATGAGCATCGTTTATTAAAGATAAAAGTTTAATTATGTTAAGATTTATGTTAATATTTTTGTTAATAATGCACTTTTATTAAAGTTTTATTTTATACCCACACCTAGCTACATATCTAATCGATATCTACTGGATATCGACATATCCATATAATGTTTATATCTACTATGGATAATCAATAGATATCTATTAGATATCAAAAATATCTATATCTCCCGTATAACCAGCTGGGATATCTAGTGGATATCCACATATTATCCACACATCCATGTTAACTAAAAATTTATTAAAAAATATACAAGTACATCCGTGGACAATGATTCGTCTCCCTAGATCTAGCGAAGCAAGTTCAAGAAAAGATGCGTACATATCGTATTGATCATGTCAAATAGTATGTATACTATTTTCTATATAACATCTATTTTCTTATTTTAATACGTTCTGAAGACTACTTACTATTAATTTCATCTCCTGTCATGTTCGATGAAAATAGAACAGGAGCTGTTTCCATAAGATGTGGTGTTATTACTGCTATATCAGGATCAATGTTTGTCTCATTGTCAGAAAGAGGTGGACCGCCACCAGTAGCTAAACAAGATTGTTTCTCTTTGATTAATACTTCTTGTTGACTTTGTTTCATATTGGCCCATAGTTTCTTTAATTGTTGAACTGTACGCTGTATGCAAAAATAAACATGTGAAAAATCTATCTGTATATTTTAAATATATATATGCACAGTAAATAGATATAAACAATACAAAATAATCTTTTGATATTTACCTCTTGCAAAACCATTGTAGAGTCATTGTATCGTTTGCAAATTTCAGACCATGCAACTTCTTTGTCACGAAGTGTAGAACTATCACTTTTTTTTACCTCTATAACGTGCTTGAAATTTTTTAATATTTCTAAAAAGATTTTTTTGTTCTAACAGAAATATACGGAAATTGCCGAATGGTCAATAAGTATTATCTTAAGCACATCTTCGAGAAGAAAGTCTCAAATTGAATGAGAATTTCTTAGGCAAGAACTTCTTCTCGAAGATCGTCTTATTTCGCGACTATGAATTGTTACGATCTCAAGACGGTCTTAATTGAATAAGATAATCTTGACCAAGATGATCTTAAGTATTGTTTTGAGCTTGGACTATGAATACCGCCCTTAAAGAAAAATTTTCACATTGAAACTTTGCATCATATTAATCTCTGCTCACAATACATGTAGAAAAAAAATAAAAACACTTTTATTATATAATTTAAACCCAAGCTATCGATTAAGCTTGTTAAAAATATGATTGGTTCAGCCGTTATTGATGAAAACGAATATTAAGGTATACTCTGACTAGCCGACTCGCGTATAGATACCGGAGTGCCTCGCTGTTGCTGCGCGTGACTTGGCGCGAGACACTACCGTGTCTCTTGATAAGTTCAAGTTATGTAAAGTCTAGAATAAAAGACTTTGAGCATATACCTGCGTACATCAATCCAGCCTACCTCATCCACGACCGAGGTTCTTGCGGACGAGAAAAAGGGCTTGAGCGAGTACAAAGGACATTGAGCAAAAGAAGGATTTCTTGCTGCAATGTGACAAGTAATTACAATCACTAAAAATCCCGTATATTCGCAAATAAAGGAAATTTTATTTCAAAATCTGCAATTGACTAACAGCCCATTAATTTCATTCCAAACTATTACCTCAATTCCTATTCCATTGTCGTTCATTTTGAATGCTTTAACGACATTCTTACATCCCTTCAATAATAAAAGCAACCACTGTCAAGCATTGGTATGTTGCTGACAGTTTCCTAGTCAGTCAACCTAATAATCCATTATCATAAATCGATCGTCCTGCAATCATTCGAAATATTCCTATATTATAATATCAATACTAGACGATATTTAGATTTTACTTAGAATTTATACTGTTGTTGTCACTCGGACGTGGCCCAACCCCTGAAACCTGGTTGCCGAGCATATATCATTGCCCATGGCGACACTCTACCCTTTCTCCCGAATTTTCATTGTTGTCGAGCACCTAAGTATGCCCTTGATCGACGTCCTCCCATCATCACCATATATTATTCCATCGTTGTCGAGCATCTAAGTATGCCCTCGATCGACATTTTTCCAAATTGACAAATTTTATACTAAACTTTTTTTCATAGAAATAATAGTTTTCGATCGACTATTTTCAGTGTGCGATTTATCATTAACGAGATATTTTGCAAAAACCATTTTCACAAAACTTTGACGCGCTGTAGCTCAAAAAATATCCACCCTACCAAAAAAAGTTTAATATAAAAAAGGTGGGAAATTTTGTTTTCTACAAAAATGGCTAAAAATATAGGAAAGAATAGTTGATAGTACAATTTATGTGAAAGATAATAATTAAAGTGATCATACCTGTCATGCTCCTTTGGAAATTAAAAAAAATGCCTTTTCTTCAAATTCTCATTTTTTTGATTGCAGTCAGATACTACACAATATATATTTTTTTTGGCACTCATCTTTATTTTTATTTTCTTTTCAATGTTTTTCTGGTTGTTACCGCAATACACGTACACCTGAAACAGAGCTAAAATCAAAGTGCTTTCCCTGCAAGAGAATTGAAGACCTGTAAAATATTTATACAGATCAACTATCCTCCCTCAAGATATCGAATTCGATCTTTCACTTAAATTTATCACTGTCACTGTCACTGTCACTGTCACTTGGCCAATCTGTCACTATCACTTTGTCAATTTGTGGCCAATCCGTCACTATCACTTTGTCAATTTGTTACTTGTATCACTTTGTCACTTTGCAATCGCTTTTAATTTATCAAAAACTGATAAATTGCACGGTACGTAATAAACGACATGTAATGTCATCTGTTCCGGTAAATATAAGTAGGCAATAGGCATTTAATTGGGTATTTAAATGGTGTGAGAGAGAACGAAAAATCAGAGAGTAAGCGAGAGAAAAGTTCAGATGGCGTTACCGACCAACTTACTTATTTCGCGCATGCGCACTCCGTTTTGGCCAACACAAAATCGGGAGAGTTGCGCTACTGTATATACTGTGGCTCGGCTCTCGCTCTCGCCCTATCAGACAGCGGCGCTACGCGAATCGCGCCAGGCCCACGGCATCGCTCGTGCCTATTAATGCGGGCCACGCAGCGGTCACCCGGGAGAGCCTAAATAACAATATGTAACAAATAACAACGTTCAATTTTCAATAATCATCGACAACAACAGCAGGCTCAATCTTTCGCGAAAAACATTTAGAAACTTCTAGAACTAGCTAAAGAACGTTTGTATAAAAGTTCTCTCGGGGAACCGCCGGGCGCACTCGATCGTGAGCTCCTTCCGAGACAGTGTGTTATAATATCGTTTAAACTCTCGCAAGAAAAGTCGCTCGCTTTTTTCGTTCGTACGCTCGTTGACGAAACGCTAAGTTTTCGATTCGCTTCAAAGAGATTTATCGTCGCTCGCGATTAATCTCTCGTAAATTAAACGCGCCGTTTATTCCGTCGCTCGCGGAATCGCGCCGTTTATGCCGTCGCTTGCGGTATTCAAGATATATCCATCGCTCGCGGAGAATATCTTTGCGCTACCGATCGCTTGCCGGAGCAAAAAACTCGATTAAGATTAGTAGAAATTTTATCGGTGAAAGACTTGTTAACTATTTATTGTTTAAAATAAATTGACTGCCTGTTACAAACGATTTCGTGTCCGTTTCTCGCTATCCTCGCGATTACGCATTCATTCGCGCACAGTATTATTGGATGTATTTTTTTTTAATTTTGGAAATATATATATTTATAAATCTTATTTATATAGCATACATTTTTATTTAGAGTTAGCGCAATTTTTTAATATCATTATTTTTATTAAGAAATTAAAACAGCTATTTTGTACCACTGTTTTCGGTTAAAATATTTGTATAATTTTTTATTTTCAATTGGCGCAATTTTTTGTATCATTATTTTTATAGGATATATTTGTACAACTTTTTTTGTTAAAATATTTTTATAAGTTTTTATTTTCAATAATTTAAAATAACGCTATTTTGTGCAGATTAAATTAAAGTAACACTATTTTATAAATACATATAACAGTTTTTCACAACTGATTAATAATGATAGTAATAGGCTCAGGATAAGGACAATTAAATGGAAAAAGGCACATAAGACCCTAGGCGCGGGTATCGGTGCGCAAACTTGTTATTATTAAATTCAATTAACCAATGTGCAATTAAAAATGTACGTTTTGGACCATTTTTTGTCCATTTTCACCATAGATATAAATATGTAGAGATCAAATCGGAATTTTAAAATCCGTCATGCACCATATTTGCAGTTGCAATCAAATCTCAAATTAAAATTAATAATCGGAAAAGAGGCTCATTAAGACCTGCGTGGAATCTGTACAATTAAGTGAACAGCATTTAATCGCCATCGTCACACGTATATTGTCGATGGTTTACAATATAATTCATGATTTGCCTCAAATCTGTGATTCATTATGACCGACTATTGACGTATTTCTACGAATGCGGTTTCAATGTTCGGAAATTCGTTTCTAAGACGTAATTCTTGCACAAAATTTTATATACTAACAGTTGTTACATAAATCCTTTGAAATTGAATCTTTGTGTATCTTACCGACACCACGAAGTTTATCAAGATCTGCATGTGATAATCTCATGTCAAAATCGCGAAGAACTTGTTTAAATCGCTCGGAGAAGATTAGAATGTAAGGTATCCCCCACTCCCCTCCCTAAAGAATTAATGCAGTTCCACTGGGTGATCCATTCTCTCTAGTCACAGCTCTTGTTTCATTTTTTGTAAATAAGAATTTTAAACATTCACGAATTACACTAAAGATGTAAGTCAAGGGATAACTGTCGCCTAGGAGGATATCGATTATCAATCTTAAATTTTTCTGGTGGAATCTTAATGGGTGTGATAATAAAAAGACCCAGTTCACCAAGCCAATGATTGCTCCTCTCTTATGACATAGTGGATAATGATTAAATAATGATTAGATTTAAAATTTAGATATATCCCAGAAAAGGTGGGTTTATAATGCCAGTCGAATTCTATTAAATTATTATTCACAATTATCGTGACGTCAAGAAAATTGAGTTTGTTATCTAGTCTTTTCTTTATAGTAAACTGAAGTCTCAGATGAAATAAGTTGGAAATAGTTAAGACCTCCGTAAATATGAAGAAAGCGATTGCCAAAGCTATATCATCCAATAAGCAAGAAACATTAAATCAATATTTTGAAATATTAAGGGGGGAACCTTGTGTAACTTGCTAAAAATAAGGTGATTTTTGGATTTTTTGGGGGGGGGAAAACGGTTCAATGGATTTTATTAAAACTTTCGGAGTATTTTAATTAACATTTCAAAAAGTAGAAAATTATTTTTTTATTGTAAAAGAATGGTTGTAATAAAAGTTATAAAAATATTTTGCCGCGGCCTCGGCGTCGGAGTCATCCATCGGCGTGCAGTATAGCGCCTGTTGTATTCGCCTGAAACAAAATTTGGGAAGATATTGTCTTTTTTAATAAAATTACGCTATGGATTAACCACATTATACAAAAAAAATGCAAAATTGGGGGAATGGCAGAACTTTGAAAAAAAAGTTGCGATTTTGACGAAAAATTTTTGCTTTAATTACGTAAAAAAAATAATTAAATTTGATAATATCACTAAAAATAGTGGTTCATCCAGAGAGGAATGTATTTATCTACATGCTTGCACAGGGACAAGCCGATTGATTGAATATTTTTTGAGTTATGCTGTACGCCAATTTGAAAAAAGTAGTTTCGAGAAAAACGCGTTTAAAGTTTTGAGTATTGAAAAGTAAGAATTTCTGGAAACTTACAGCTCTTTTTCGTTAATCTGCTATTCTAGGCCCATATAGCAATACTTCTGCTTCCTCGTAAAAATGTTGTAGTTCAATTCGTTCCTCTTTCCGAACCGTTCGAGCCTCCCTTATGCTGCTTAAGCTGCGGCACTTCTGCCTCTTCAATCGCTCTGCGTCGCGAACATCAGCAAAAAATTTACACTGCGGTCCAATTGTTATTTCTAGTGCTTCCATAATTTTTAATATAGCGTGAAAGCGTTCATTAAAAACACTAGCAGCTATAAAAGCGGCGATCTCAGTAATTTTTACGCGATTCAAGTGTTTCGGAGCTGACTAATACACTCACTTTTCACTACTTGAAAATATACTTACACAAACATACACAAATTACACAGACACCCTAACTCAAAAATACCGGCTCATGTTTGGAGCTTATTCATACAACGGACTAAGCAGAGGAACGCGCCGCGCGCTCTCCGGTATACCTGCGTGACGCGTAGCTGTAAAATAGGTAGCTTCGTTAATACTTCGAATTTCGATCTGTAACTTCAAGGATATATTTTTCAGATGTACTACTATTGATTTATACATAAAAAAATCGATTTTTTTACCCGTTACACGAGCCTCCCCCCTTAATTT